TCTTTAGACTAAAAATTGAGGGTCGTCTTATACACAGAAGTAAGCTGAGGCGAGAACAAAAACAAGCGGAGGGGAAAGCAGGGATCAAAGCGATCCTGCAGCGCTTTGATCCTTTCCCCCTTACACTTGCTAAGCCCCACTTAGATTTCTTAATTTTGGATTAGAAAAGTGGGGGGGGGCATCTTATACACGGAAAAATATGGTAAGTGCATTGGGAATTAAAGGCTATTCTGCATGTGTGTGGTGCCATTAATGTAATACATCATTAGTAGTGCTTTATAATACTTCCTAGTTAATCCTTGCAGCAGTTGCTAAAAGATCAGTTGAATTGTTTCTGTATTGAAAGTGGATGGAAGATAGTGATAAGGTGACAGAAGGATGATTTATCAAAGGCTGTTTACCTGATGTGGAGGGAGGTGAATTTCAGATGACAAGTGCTGGTTGCTCTTTCTTTAAAATGCTTATTTTTTTCTTAAAAGATCTTTTATTTTAAATGCACTATTTTTATTTTTTAAATGACATATATTTTTTAGAAAATGTACTTTGCGATGATAATTTTAATATATGTGATATAACTTGAAAGATTTTGTGGAGGGATATGGCTTGTTAATTCTAAAAGACACTGCATTGATACAGTCTTCTCTTTTTTTAAAATTATTTGTGAATAGGGTCCAGCAATTTTTGGGTTTAGTCTCAATTTTATGGGGCTCAATAGACTTCTGTATAGATGACTTAGGGTAATCTTTCTGTCAGTGTAGTACTTTGGGAGACACCATCAGAAAATTTTGCCTTTCTCAGACTGAGTTGTGTCTCCAGAGAGACATACATATGAACAGAAATAGATTTGATCAGCTCTAATTTCTAACTACAGTATTTGTTATTCTTTAAGCTTGCTTGCTCATTTATTTATTTATTTATTTATTTATTTATTTAGTATCCCGCCCATCTAGACAGAAGTCTACACTAGGTGGCTAACAACGCTCAAGAATAATAAAAAAATAAAACAACATTAATACAATTGAAAATGGCAAATAAATTAGATATTGACAGGAGGGAAGGCCTGCCTAAAGAGGCAGGCCTGGAGTTGGCTCTTAAAAACACCCAGCGAGGAAGCCAGACAGATCTCTGTGGGCAGACTGTTCCATAGGCAAGGGGCCACTGCCCAGAGACCGTTTTTTTGTTTTTCTCTCTGGGCCTCCCTTGGCGTTAGGCCCCTCAGCCGCCCATCCTGGCTAGAGCGAGTGATTCGGGTAGATCTAGGTGGGAGGAGGCGTTCCACCAGATATCGAGGCCCTAAACCGTTTAGGGCTTTATATATGTCATAATTAACACCTTGAAATCAATGCGGAAACGAATGGGCAACCAATGCAGGGCAGCCAGAGTGGGGGGATATATGTTGATATTTTTCTCACTCCAGTGAGAAGTCTGGCCGCCGCGTTCTGCACCATTTGGAGCTTCCGCATCAAAGGTAGCCCCACGTAGAGTGCCTTACAGTAGTCTAATCTCGAGACTACAAGCGCATGGACCAGAGTTTTTTGCCCCTCTCGGCATGGTATAATGTTGGAAATTCTTTGAGGTCCTATTAAAACGTCCAGGACTGTTTTCATTAGTTTCTTTGAATGAAGCCAATTACTTTAGCACATTGGGCAAGGAGTACATCAGGTAAGATTCTCAGCCATCTCCTGCTGTAGGGAGGTTGTGAAAAGTAGGTATTAAAGTTAGCAGGAGTGCAATTTACATGTAGAGGGGGAAATCATATGTTTTAATTGGGTTTTCTTAGCAATGATTTAAGTTATGATTTAAGTAACTTTGATTTAAACCTAATGTACCTCAAAAAAGATTGTAAGACCAAATGTAGTGACACCTCACTATCCTTCCTTTCCATAAGTAATGATGATATTAAAAAGTCCTGCTGGGCTATGCTGTGTAAACTTTAAAAACAAACAGATTTTTCTTTAAAGAAGTGATCAAAGCCAAGCTTTGTACAACTGGACCCAAAGGTGGCTGAAACAGAAAGTGAAGCATAGTACACCCTGGAAGAGACCAAAAATAGCAGCTTACCTGGATTACAGTAACTCCTGAACTGAACCTGTAAACACTTATATAACACAGTTGAATGGCAAAGGTGTCAGAGGCAGCTGGTCTGTCAGGACGCTTGGTGTTAAAGAAGGGAGGAAGTGACAACTAGGTGAACTAGAGTTGTGCAGGTAGTTCACCATATGTAGCCTAAGATATGGAACCACCGCAGACCTACTGATCATCCTTTGGTTTAACCTGGAGCTCTGAGCTTCTCTGCTATGCTCAAAATGCTGTTCAAGTGGGCATCATGTGAAGTTCCACGCCTGCAAAAGTGTGCTAGGCCTTATGGTCTAGCGGTCAGTCACATCGTCCGTGTCACAATTGTGCAGTTCATGCCATAGTTGCACAAAATGATCATGCAGTTCAGGATCACATGGTTCTTGTCTTAGTTGCTCAGTCAGTTGCATGGTTCATGTTCAGACTCTTGTGCAACACACCTGCGGAAGTGCATCATTGATACTACTTCTGTTTTATGATGAATTTTTTTCCTACCACTTCGGCAGCTTCATGTTGCATACACATAGCTGCCCAAGAGGATTTCAGCCCTTGCAACTTTTTACTGTTTTTTTCTGATGGGTCTGCACCATTGGGGATCTGATGTTTAGAGGGATGATCATTAATCGCTTGCTTTTGGCACTGATCAGAGAAGGGAGTCCCCTGTGGTGGTGGCTACCAGCAGCAGCAGCACTTTGGTAAAACATTTTAATTAGAAGGTGTGTGTGTCAAAAGTGCCACACAAGAGAAGTTGCAGAAACCAGACAAACATCTTGCAAACATCTCTGGTGATCCAAGTAGGATTTTCAAAAAGGTTAATTTTACTTTATTTTATTGTGGATTTTGGAATTACAGAGGAAATAATTTTACAGCCACAGCATTTTTCAACAGACGTCTTTCCTGTGGAGCTCTCTAAAGCATTGATACTAGTAGAGGAGTTACGCCTGGATTTTTTGAGCAGATCACGCACTTTAGGTTAAAAATGACAAATGTGTCATGCAGTGATGATGCCTGAAAAAATCTGATATTCATATCTCCTCCTGAAATAAATAATTGTTAATGTTTATATTTTACCTGTGAAAGATACTGCCTGAATCCAGGGAAGGTTCCTACTGATTAATGTGAGGTCTCAAAAGAACTAGATGGCAAATTTAAACTGATATATGGAGACAGAATGCGAAATGAACCGTGTGCATGTTTCACAGTGTGATGTGAAAACCTATCGTATATCTCTCAAGTTTACAGGTGCTTTGCCAGAAAATATTGTGAAATAACACCAGATATTGTCTCTAAAAATACATTTCTATCAATCATTCATTTAATATTTACACCAAGCATTAATAACCTAGACGTAAGCTTGCAGGCTTCTTGGTTACGTATGAAAATGTACGCCTTTTTCATCTTGTTCTTCTTTTCTGGAGAGTAGATGTCATTGTGGCTGTTTTGCGTTCAGATGCAGTGACTCTAAACAAGGATGTTGTGCAACAGTCCAGGTTCTTCAGCCAACAGATGAAACCCGATTACATTTGTTATGGCTGCGGTAGGGCAATTGCCTCATTGTCAAAGGGGAAGTTTTAGGTGATTAGAGTTCTGTTTCTGTTGCTCAACTTGTCTGACCCACATGTAACCCGTTTCATAGTGTGAAAGCCCTTGGAATGGAAGGAGGAAGTATTTAAATACCCAAATCTCTCCGGTTCTATGGTGTTACTAGAAGGGGAGATGTTTTGGTAATTAGCAGTTTCTCCTGTTCTTAGGCGCCCATGGCTTAGATATAGTGAAACTAATTACACATGAGCTGGACAAACTACAAATCAGAAGCAGGAATTCTGCAATTACCAAAAATCTCCCCTGCCAACGATGTCATCATCCTTTCCCAGGTGTATAACAGGATGTGGGCCAGTGAATTCTTCCCCTTCCTGCGCTTTTCCCTGGTTAGTTTACCTTGAAAGATTAGCTGTAACAAACTTCTTTTTGTTTATGTGGTCACAGTATTCTGGCTTTCTGCATTTTATGAGTTTTCTAATTTGTGATCTTTATTGATTGGTCTTAGTACCTTTCTTGAACCAAGAACTGGCTACCATTTAAGGCATTCATACATGGCTTTATGGGTGTACCTGTCTGGGAACGTAAACTTTAAAACTCAAGTGTTTCTGAGATAAAAATGTGCTCTATATTTGAATAAGCGGCATTCATTTTTGGAAAAAATGTAAAACCTTTCACTTTGGGATTCAAAATACAATAATTATGGACAGCAGACAGAAGCAAGTTCACAAGCACAAAAATACAGTTGCTCAGAACAAAATTAACCTGGGGTAAAGGCCGCGAAAGGCTTGTTACTATCTTCAAGTCTGTCTTAGTGCATTTCATGGGTGCCTCCAGGTCACTGTTGTATAAATTGTGATTTATACAGAGTCACATGTGTAGTCATATGCATCATTCTTCATCCCACTCATGTTATCCTTTTTGGTCCAAACTTGCAGTTGAAGACAGAATAATGTGTCTGTCAGTCCACAGCCTTGGGCTCAGCGGCTTGGCTGGAGAAGGTCTCTCTACTGCTCTGCTCATGCCTTTGCTTAGCCTGCTTTTCCCTCACGCTGTTGGTTTGCAGACAAAAGAGAAGGCTGGGCCAAGGGACTTGGGAACAGCATGGTGGCGGCAGCAGCAGCACAGAGGAGCTGTTCTTCTAAGCGATAGACTCAACTCACAAGAGCCAGAAACAGCAGATCTGTGCAATTGCGTTACGACATTTATCTTTTCACTAACTTCACTCCTGCTAGCATCTTACTGGGAAGCTGTCCTTCATAGACGTGATGGTTGAGCTAAGGAATGTCCATTCCCTATTGAACAGTTGCTTTAAAAAGATGATTACAAAGAACTTGGAGGCCTAGAGAGCCCGGGATTTCATTTTGGTTTTCTTTCTCTTGCAGGGTTTCTTACCAGGGACCTACAATCTCCGTGATCTACATACATCAAGGAAAGCTGAGGATGATCCAGGCTGAGCACCAGGATCTCTGGCAATCCAACTCTTGAGAATTTTCCTAAAGTTCTACGACACTTAAGAAGGGCAGAAGTTATTGTAACCCATTGCATTATGAGACTATTAAAAGTTTTCTTTTTAATTTACAATCCCCTCCTCCTCCCCCCGCCCCCAAATTTGTTTGCCAACTCATCAGCTTTGTTGATCAACTAAATATGTGCAGATAATTCTGGAATTTCTCTTTTACCTAAACGAAATACTGTAGGGCAAAAATTTGAAAAGCATTTTTTTTCCTGCTGTTGTTGCTGCTGCTAAATACCATAACTGTGGACCAATATATGCGTAACATTTTTCTTGGTGGTGTTTAACAGGGAGCATTGAAAAGCCTACGAGGAAGAGGAGGTGGTGCTTAGCCTCTAGATTGGGGGAACTGGGTAAAGTGAACCTGAATGAAAAATGAAATAATACATCTTCTCTTTTGAAGAGTAGTTTTGAGCATTGGGACTTGACAACACAAGGTCTGATCATGGCTGTTAACATGGAGAACCACGTGTAAGGTGTCCCTGAAGTTCAAAGTGCCATGATAACAATGGGAGATTAATATTTGTCTGTGCCAAGCTTGACAAGACGAGATGCTGGTGATAGGTAATGGTTTGCTTGCCTATCAAAATCCCCACACCTGCCAGCAGCTGGTGACCTGTTTGGTTGATTAGCTTGGTCACTTTGAGTTGATCCCTTGATAGGGGCCTCGTCTGCATGTTTGCCTATTTTGTCTTTCAGCCTGCTTCAGGGCCCCTTTGGTAGATCTTACCTAGATCTCCTTCGGCTTTTTACGTGATAATCAGATTTTTTAAATACACACACACATAGAGAGAATGTGTGTGTGTGTTAGAACTGCCATGCAGACCTCTTGTATAAAACACACAGTTATTGTTGTGAGTGCCCATCTCTCTCCTTGTTATTTGCTCTTCTGTCGGCCCTGTAGATCTGGCTGGTCTTTTTCTAAAATGCTTAGGTATCTACACTAACTGCACAAGGTGGTGTTGGGGAAGATTTTGTCCCCATGCTTTCTCTTCAGCTGGTCTTGTTGGGTGGAACAACTACATTGCAAACACTGCTTCTTATTCCTTGCACTTTCACTCAGCTCATAGCCATGAAGAAAGCAGATAGATCGGGATCGTAACTTGCACATCTCTGATTTGGGCCCCTTGTTAGGGGATTGTATATCTTGACACGACTACTGAGACTGCTTTGCTATAGTCAGTGTTTGGAAGAGATGTTGTGATGTATACTTTGTGACTCTTGGAAGGTATTGCTTCTGTAAACACGGACCACAAGAGAAGTCTGCTGGGCTGCCCTTTGTATCCAGTCTCGCACACTGCAGTATGTCTTTCTGGGATGTGGGCAGCCACATGCTGAGCATGAATATGCCAACTTCTTCCCTGAGTAGTTATTTGTGGCTTCGGGAGTTTGTTTGTGGCTTTCAACGCCTACCATTTGTAAAGTCCTCTTGGTTTCTGGATTTTTTCAAATGCTCATTTCAATTCCACTTGTTGACTTTCTTCTAGTCCTGCCCCAGCCCTCTAACTCAAGAAGCATTGCTACTGTTGGACGGAATTTCTAGGGAGAAGTTATAAGTAACACTATTGGCTTCAAATGCCGAAATAAAAGGAATGAAAAATGCTTTTTAGGAACCATAGACTGACCTCCTTGCTTGTTCATCCAGGCCATATTCTCTTCCTTTGAACTGTAAGTTTTAGAAATTCATATGGTCTTTTGTGCCTCCAGAAAGAAATATCTGTCAGTTAAATTGCAGCAGATCACAGGAAGTGAGGCGAGCATGAATGGATAAGCCCATGTAGCTATCCTTTCTTAACCCTTTGCTGCTCTTTCAGTTTGCCGAGATAGGTGGACAGCTGCAACAGCCGTCTTCCAAACAATAACAGTTGAGAAGTTACGTAAGTGATGCTGACTTATCCCAGTGATCTCCGGAGTAGAACTAATTTGGTGTCATAACAGAACAGGATTGAAAAAAGCAGAGCTGCCTCAAATCGGAGAGGATGAGGGAGACATCAGCCTTATAAAGACACTTCTTGTAGTGACCTGGGGACTATAATTTTTATACGCAACTCTCTGATCCGTTAGCTGTATAGATCCATCTTAACCAGTCCATATTTTTGGATTTTCCACTGGATAGGCTTTCGTTCCTCCTCTGTGTGCATGCACGCATGCGAAATCTGGTAACAGCAAAGTAGCCCTTCAGTTCTCCTATTTGGATGATGGTGATGGAAACTATGATGATGGATGCATGTTTCAAGCCCTGGTGAAAAGCTCTTCAGACAAACACAGATTCTCAGTTTAGCCCATCCACGTTGGTGCTGCTGTGCACACCCCTCTCTCGTATTCATGCTGCAGTAGAGTTGTGTTTTTGTGGTGGTAGCGAGACCATAGTGCCTTATGGGAGGTTTGCAGGACTGTAGGTGAGGCAGTGTTGTTGTACCTTCTGCTGTCAGTACCTTTTGTGGTTCCTGGTTCTTCTCCAGTCTCCTGCCTGGGATAGCTTTGCCTAGACTGTGCTATTCTTCAGAAATGTCCTAATGTTTTCTTGGTGGCTGCCTCAGTCTTCAGTCCGTACTTCTTTAGTGTTATGGCATCTAAACAGGGAAGCAACATGGCCTTTTTTTTGGAAAATGCTCACCCTACTTTCTGACAAAGAGGTAATCTGCCTGGCCAGCTACTGCCCTATCTGGCTGCTGTCTCATTTTGGGTGATGCCTTTGAACACACTGTTGTGTCACAAGCTGTAGGAACTAGCCTTGCTGGAGACCCCATGGATCCCATGAATATGTTTCCATGTTTCCTTCACAGAATATTCCCCCTGCTTTCCTTCCCCCATTGTCTTGAGTACATTTGGAATGGGATTTGCTCACTCGTTCCTGAGGGATATGAAATATCCTCGGCGTTCTGTAAGACGGGTTTCTTTAACTGACAATGGCTTCCACACATTGTGGGCATGAGTTTATACTGAACTGTTTACATCCAGCTGCATTGTTTACAGTTGGTGGTGTGTGCTGGGACCTACCCGATGCCCTCTCCTAACTGGTGTAGTGGCTAGACTAGATTTTTATACCTGGCTGTATTCAATTCCAAAACCCTCTGCCACCTCCCCCCTGTTTACATGGTAGGGGTAGGAGAACCTTGTGTTAAAACTGTCAACATTGGCATCTCTTTGAGAATTCAGCATGGTCTACCTAGATTTTCCCATTTATGCGTTACGCGCCTGCATGGCACACCAGTCCCTTCTTACTGCAAAAGGCCAAGGAAGCCTGCCCACACCTTGATTCCTTGGTATCTAAAAATGGAACTAAAAACTGAAACACCTCTTGGTGAATGTTCTAAGGCTGGGAAGGGAAGATGGAGAGACGTTTCACTGATGTGCATGGACACCAGATGACCCGTGTTCCTATCTGCGTTAAGGATAACTCAGTGGTGGTAGAGCTGGTAAGTGGACAGAGGGTTTCCGGTAAGCATGGGTCTGTGTGATTTGGCCAGCAATTGCCGCCTCCTGTTCAGGGTGCTTCTCGAGACCAGAAACATGCTCTACTTGGCCTTTGTGTTCGTGAGGGCCACCAGACTGACCAGCTTAGGAAGGCACAGGAGAACTGCCCTACTTCTCATTTAGAACAGCCCCCCAGGAAAACTAGCTTGTTTCTATGCCTAGTTGACAAATCCAGGCCCTTTATTGCCCCTTCAGGCTCCCCCTGAAACTTGTCTGCCCTTCAGTGGAAGAGGTGGAGGTGGTTTGCATGCTTCACTGCCCTTCTCTTTCCCCTGCTGCTATTAAGGGTTGAGGTGCTAGCAATGGGAGATTGCGGTCTTCCTCCCCCCCTTCATACTTCTGTTCCCTCAGGATCCCACACCAGGCCTCTCCAAGATTCCAAACACTGCCAGAGATTTTGTGATTTTGGGTTTTTTTTTAAGAGAGCAATAAACATTTCTCACAGGAGAGAGAGGGACAGACGCTTTATTTTGTTTGTTGTGTTTTTTTCTCTCTTTCATATATCTAGTTTTCGGCATTTATCTAGTCTGGGTTTAAGCCTGCTGGGTTGTGCTCTGGCCTGAATTAAGCCAAAGCAACCGATGAAAATTACTGCTTCTGCAGAACTGGATTCTCTGAACACACTGTAACTGGGCCCTGTTACGTGGCCATCTGCACACTTAGGAACTGGCCTTTCCCCCTCCAAAAGTAGGCTTCTGCTAGCCATGTGGTGTTGCTGCCGGGCTTCCTCCAGTATAATGTCACTGTATGTTTTCCACCAACAGGCTGGAATTCTGTGCCTACAGGGGAGAGGGTGGCTCCTGGCATGTCCCGACACCTTGAAACTGCCATGCCACGTGTGTGGCTTGGACCATTTCCTTGAAATTTAACTTTATCTATGCGTTCTAGCACAAGCAGCTGCTTTCTGCCTTCTGGAATTAAGTGACTGTTGTGGAAAGTTGTCCAGAGCTCCTGTCTGGATGACTTTCCTACCAGACGTTAATTCATAGAATGCCACTGCTTGATAAGGAAGATGGAAAAGCTACCTCACCTCTCCTTGCAGCTGGTATGCATCGTGTGGATTTCTTTGTGCTGGCCTGCTTTTGGAGGTGCGGAAGTGCCAAACAAAACAAGTACAATGGGAACAGAGGGTATTTGTGTGAAAAAGCCCTGGTTCTCCTTCCATGGGCTCTTTCGACTGCTGCGGGGGTGTCTTGGTGCACTCTTAATGATGATGATCAGGAGAACCACCCCCTTCCTCAAAATGTTCTCACCTGCACCTTTCTGGCCCCTGGGTCAAAGGGCTTCTGCTTCTCTGGTGCAGATAGGATGGCTCTGGTTTGGATCGGTTCCAGCCCTTGTGATTGCTAGAACCACTCCAAAGCAAGCCTTCCTTCTTCAATTTGTCAGTATTGTGAAGTGGCTTAATAAGCATCAGGGTTTTTAAAAAACAAACAAAAAAAAAACACTTTTCTTTGCTTCACCTTGAAGGGCTGATCAAGAAACGGCCTGCCGTTGAATCCACAGTGTTGTCTTCAGCTGAAGGTAATTTCTCAACCGGCCCTTTAAGAGGAGGCAAAGAAAAAGTGGAGTTTCAACAATAGTCTCTATATAGTCAAAAAAGTATTATTATTATTTTTCATTTCCCCCTGCCCTCTGCTGAGCAATGGAAGTAATTAATTTCCCAGCATCCTGAAGTTCTTAAGCCACTTCATAATATTGGCAGGAGCCATTTCTGTGGTGTGAATGGGTCAGTCTCGATTAGTTCATTCTAATTCGGCCTGACTATTCCCAAGTGGTCCACGCTAGCTCATTTCCAGCTGCTGGTGTACCTGTAACATCAGCTGATTCGTACTACATTGGATCTGCATAACTTTAAAACTACAAGAGGAGGTGGATAGAAGAGGGAAATATCTTGTATAAAAATATAATCACATAGAAAGATGGCATGTTGGAAACATGGTTGATAGCTTTTTCCGTATTTCTCTTCACAAGAAGGAGCATATTGCATTCCCTAATTGCTGCCCCACCGTTCAAAAAAACCAGAAATGCAGGATAAGCCATCTCAATGAGATCTAGCCCAAATTCCCCAAATTATCTCTATATTTAGTCCAGTTGCAGTTTCTTCCAACCTTAGGCTTGCTAGCGTATGGAATTCAGAAACATGCTAAGAGAAAGGCTTAAACCCAAGGCTTTCAAAATGACATTTTTCCATTGTTCATCAGTTTTCAAAACCTCTCCTTTATTTTTTTTTCTTTGCACAGAAGCTGGTAATGTAGGACCTATGTGTGAACAACTTTATATGTGTGTTGTTGTTGTTTTAAAAAAAAGGAAAGAAAACTTTGGTTTACTTGGGTTGGTGTGCGACATTGTATTTAAGTTCTTTGAACACTGTGGAAATCCTGATTGTGTGTGAATGACCGCAGCTTTGTAAATTAAAGAAATGTTTGTTTGAATAAACCTAGCGGATGGGGTTGAAAAGCCATACCCAGTTTTGAAATGGAGTGTCTTTGCTTTTGTGTCTGTGATTCCCTTGATGGCTGTGCTTTTGGAGGGGGGGTTCAGTGAGCATCACTGGACCATGGGGACCCCCTTTTCTTTGTTCTTTAGCATGGGGGGGGCTGCTGAAGGGGTTGGGTTGTTTGAGCCTAAAGGATACTGCAGCACCCATGTAGCCAGTAAGGCAATTGAACGTCTGTCTTGGGTTTGCCAAGTTAGGGGCAGGACAGAAAGAGAAGCCACACATCCCTAAAGTAATATAACAAAAAGAGAGAGAGAATATTTTAAGAAAAAGAGTACTGTAAT